GAGGAGCGCGTAGTGATGATGTGATTAAGGGCTTAACAACAAAAGTCCGTGAAGAGATAAATACAGCGTTAGAGAAGCATGCCACCTCCAGAGTTTTTATGGTGTGAAGGAGCGGCGCAAGTAGCTTGAGGAACGGGAATATAGATTGGAAGTGGTGAACCAAGTTTCATCCTCAGCCGCACATTATTGCAAGAACAATCCTGGATCAGTATCAGGATCAGAATCAACAATAGGATCAGGATCAGAATCAACATTAGGATGAGGATCTGAATCAGCATCAGGATCAGGATCTGAATCAGCATTAGGATCAGGGTCAGAATCAGCATTAGGATCAGGGTCAGCATTAGGATAAGGATCTGAATCAACATTAGCATCAGGGTCAGAATCAGGATCAGAATTAGCATTAGGATCAGGATCTGAATCAGCATTAGCATCAGGATCTGAATCAGCATTACGATCAGGATCAGAATCAACATTAGGATCAGGATCAGCATTAGGATCAGGATCTGAATCAGCATTAGGATCAGGATCTGAATCAACATTAGGATCAGGATCAGAATCAACATTAGGATCAGGATCAGAATCAACATTAGGATCAGGGTCAGAATCCGCATTAGGATCAGGATCTGAATCAGCATTAGGATCAGGATCTGAATCAACATTAGGATCAGGATCAGAATCAGCATTAGGATCAGGATCAGTATCAGGATTCAGATGTGTGTTAGTATGTGCTTGTGTGATGTGTGTCTTAGAGGCGGTACCTACTCCTCTCTGAGTTGAACGAATACTATTGTAAATCTTTTGAAGAGATTCAAAAGGACATTTCTAAGTATTTGAGTTCATAAAATTGGTGTTTCTTGCTAATATGCAGTTCCCGAAAAAGAGAAATCAAAGTCTCATATATACTGAACCATAAAATAAATGTCGCACCGATAGCGGTTTCTTCAAGCACACACTTTAACACTCTCCTACCCAGAGTTCCATGCGGCAAACCAGCATAGTACCTCTGCCACAGGCAAGAAAAATGTGACGATTCGTCACATCTTGCAATGTCCATTCAATATAATGTACAGATTTCTTTTACTCTTTTATTTTTGACGAGTCTGCACATCTAACTAAACATCTTTAATAGAATGGTTTAGTTTCTCTGACAAAATATCCAAAACATGTAACACTATTTAAATTTGCGTAGCGATTCTATGTTTACATAGGTTGTACGGCTCCACGTGCTGTCATCGAAGCTGATGGAGAGCAAACGATGCAGCCAGTTTGGTATCTAAATATGTACTGTCATAGACCTTACTGTCGCAGTTGTGGAAGAGTATATATGTAACAATGTAAAACAATATGAAGAGAGCGCCGAAAAGGTTTCGTGAGTCCAGTCTCTTCTTATTATGAATATGCGCGTTTGTTTACAAACAAGAGAAAGTCCGGTCACGTGATATGCAAATTAGCCTGTGGCAGTGATGTTATGTTAGTCATCGCTGTGCCGGAGTGTGACACTTTTACTCACTCTAATTAACAATCAAAACGGGGGATTGAGTTCAAACTTGACAATTATGGTTAACACATTTTCGGGAATCACATTGAGAGTTCACACAAACAAAATGACCAAAAATGGTACCATTAAGATACCTCAAAGTCAGTATTGTGTGTGGCCTCCATGGGCATCGATGAAAGCGTTGCATCGTCTATACAGGGAATGAATTAGCCGGTTGATGATGGCCATAGGCACTTGAGTCCATTTTTTTAAATGCCAGATCGAGTCCAGAAGCGGTTGTCGGCCTTGGGTGGAGGTCATTCAGTCTTCTTTGAATCTCGTCCCAAATGTGTTCTATTGGACTCAAATCAAGACTGAGTGCAGGCTATTGTAGTGTTTGGATGTCATGTTGTCTTAGGAAGTCCAATGTAACTCTGGCAGTGTGGGCCAGTGTGTCTTGCTGGAAGATGTGATTTCTGTAATGTCCAAAATGTGGTACAACGTGGGGTCTTATGACTTGGTCAATATAGCGTGCAGCTGTCACGTCATTTCCTCATCCTGGACCAAGATTCTGAAACACCACGGTGCTAACTATCTGGTTCAGACCGACTGCACCCCACACCATGATGCTTGGACCACCCCATGAGTCACTTTCAACAATACTCTATTGGAAAACAGTTCCCCACGCCTTCACCATACTCTCACTCTGCCATCGACAGTATCGGCTTTCTTGAGATAAAAGCACAGTTCTCTATTGTCGATAACGCAAAATTTGCTGCTGAGTTCCCCATCGCAGTCGGTTTTGGTGATGATGAGCGGTGAGAAAAGGACCACGATATGGTCTGTGACAGCAGAGGTTTCTCCCGCGCAAACGTCGACGCACTGTATCGGCATGGGTCTGTTGTGAGTCCAAATGGTCTGGCGTGCTGTTTTCGTCTCTCTGGGAAGCGATCCTGCAGATGGTGTCGGCCTTGACGTTGTGATGTTACTGAACGTCGCCCACTGCGTGGACGGTCTTGGATGCTGTCAGTGACCTGATACCGCTCCTGCAGTCGGTAGACTGTCCTAACATGAACATTAAAATGATTGGCTACCCTCCGTGCAGTCTGCCAACTTGCAATCGTCCTCTGATTTCTCGTAAGTCGTGCCATGGCGATTGTGTCAAAACAAAAATGATTTCAGGTGAGTTTGGGACTCGCTTTCATTGGTAGGATTGTCACTATATGCACGTGCATTTTCATTTTCACGAATGTCATACGGAACCTTTTACCACGTCTGTCATTTTAGGCGCGTTTGGTCGATATGCTTTTTCATCAGAAAACACACTGATGTTGGCAACAACTGTCAATTTGGATTGAAAAACATGTTAATATAACGATACAATCATAATAAAAACACCATTTTGTATGAACAAAATTTGGCATTTGGTTTTGAAAAGCGACGTTTCTTTGTGGTTCAGTATATTAGGAAACCACTCGAGAAGATCTTGATAAAAGACTGCATGGAATCTTTGTTAGTCGAATGACTTGGAAATAACACCAAAATCTGTCGCAAGACGTAACGAAAGAGAAAAATATGGTCCATGTGATGTATTATCATGTCAGAAATAACCTTCCATTTGGCATGACAGTGTATTTCAACTGCCCTCAAACTCAGAACCTTTCTGTTAATCTCGACCATGTTGTCCTTTCTCTTTAGCAATATGGCAAACAAAAATGGGCTTCACACACTGCACCCTAGCGGGTGCCTTAACTATACAGCCACCCCCAACAGCAGTGAAACCGTCGTACCTGATCATTAAAATCGAGCCGTTGCGAGTGGATTCTAATCCACAAATTCCAGTGAGTTCAAGGTAATGAACAATACTATAGTTCACATGTATTTCTTTGAATTATAGCATGGCCTGCTTTTATGTAAATTTTACTTATCCATCGAATGCACCATCAGAACTGAAAATGAATTCCTAGCTGAGAATCACTTGAAACAACAGACACAGCAGCATGACGGCATCATAAGGACTGAAGTTTGGACTTTGGTTGTCTTCGATATCCCTGCTTAGACCTGAAGCGTCTCTGTTTGTGTGACCAACGTCTTGCAGGAAGACCACAACAGACACATGGCACATGCAAAACGGTTCACATTGATACATCGCCTTGTACTATGTTGTTAGCATGCGATCTCTCAAAGGACTGAATAAACAAGGCGCCTATGTATTGTGTTCTTCAAAACAGTGATGATGAAGCCTTAACGACCAGCTCAATGAGAAGGCACAGACCCGAACACAGTACCCCCACCAGGAGGGCGAGTGAGACCGACACCAGCTTCTCCAGACCTATCGGCTTGGCCCCTGTTTCTGTTGAAGCACATGCGCTATCGTTCAGCCTCGGGTTCCACTTCCTGAACCAGTATTGCATCAAACCGATCTCCTGAACCATTGTGACCCTGCAGTTTAGAAATAATTTGGTTGTTAAAAGATTGTGTTTCTCAGTGTCAGAATGAAGTAAAGATGTTTTTGGTTTGTCTCTGTGCTGATTCAACAGGGTGAATCCGCATTTTAGTAACACCGTGAATATTAAAAGATCGTGATTCTCAGTGTCAGAATGATGAAGAGAATTTTTACTTTTGTTCTATTTCGGTTTTGATGCACCTATGTTATTCTGAATGTTAGTAACATCTTGACTATTTGAAACAATAACAATGGATTGATTTTCAGCGATCGAATAATTGATAATTATTTTATTGTTTAATTCGGTGGTCATGTTCAATTATCATATTTCTAAAATTCTTAAAGGTGCGCAGTTATCCTAATACAGCTTATTCCGGAGCCCAAAGTATTTAGTTCTTGGTAATGTTTTATTATCTGATCGCTTTTATATTACAGTAACGGAAACATGCAAGGTATCTTAGCGCTTTTATATTTCAGTAACGGAACAATGCAATGTATTTTAGCGCTTTTATGTTACAGTATCGGAAATTGCAAGGTATCTTAGCTATTACATATTACAGTACCAGAATAATCCAAAGTATCTTAGCGTTTAAATATTTGTAAAGGAACTATAAAAAGTATCTAAAGTAGCGCTTTTATATTACAATAACGGAATAATCCAAGGTAACTTAGGGCTTTTGAAACAATCCAAAATAAACTGCCTGGATGATTCGTGTAATGGCTGCATAAACTAAAGAAATTTGTATCCGATGATGTTCAACTTGATACGGGAATCACAACTCCGTTTGGACCTTCGGTTATCGACTATTTTCAGTCAAGTAACGTCTTCATAACGTTTGCGTCAAATCCATATTTCAAATGTACATACCTTCTTGCCAGGCAGATTAAAACCGAGAATATATTTTCTTAAGGGTTCTCTATTATCATCGAAGAAATTCCACATTCAAACATAATACTTACTCCTCAGAAAACATATCTGTTAGCGGTGAATCTTGTGGCAGGACCAAACTGTATTGCATGGGTTCAAATGTTTCCTCGAGTATATACAAGTCACAAAAGCTCTGGCGAACACATCTAATTCTGACGTATCACTCTTATAAAAGCATAATTCTCGTCGAGAACTTTCTTTATTTGGATGGTGACGTTTCTTTCAAATGTGCTGCTGTCCATGCTTCTTGAGGCTTGGATCTTCTCCCACAGCCGCATAATTTTGCTGTTGTTGGATGTCTGTAAGACACAATTACGTCAGAGACAGCATATGCTTTGTTAACTGATAATGCTGTTACATTTACATCGTAAAATGGCCATAGGAAAGAAGAAATGGTGGTGAGTACTATTAACAGTAACGGAACAACCCAATGTATCTTAGCGCTTTTACACAGTAACGAAACAATCCAAGGTTACTTAACGCTTTAACGACAGTAACGGACCAATCCAAGGTCTTATTTTACACTTAACGGAACATTTATCTTAACGCTTTTATGACAGTAACGGACCAATCCAAAGTATCTTAGCGCTTATTTATTTACAGTAACGGACCAATCCAAGGTATCTAAGACCATTGATACAGGTGCAGTAATGGAACAATTTAAAAGTAGACGTAATAATTATATAAATGTGCATATTTATTATCCACACCAAAAACCTGGTCAAATCGCTACATTAATACCCCGACCTATGGATCAGTGTGCACTCAATTGTCATTCTCACCTTCCTTGGAATGATGACTACAAACTATTTATATATTTTTTACAGGTATATTTCCTTAAAAAAAGTGTGGCCCAGAACATGAGTATCCCCATATGCTTTGCTGTTTTACATCAAGACCAGTTAATTGCAGTGTCAGAGGTTTGTCTCTTTCAAAGACAAATATTGGCTACGGGGTTACGACTGTTATATGGCCAATGTTCCCCTAGGACATATGCAGCAAATGTTATAACTTTATATATGTCTCGTCAAATAACACTGTGTCGAAGTGGAAGGTAAATAGTTATCCAAAGTTCGACACAACCGAAATTATATTCAACGGTGTTTTCCTGGCCCCCATTTTTCCAAACAAACTTAAGTCTAAGTTTTGAGAAAATGCATTTCCCAGAATGAACTGAAATCAAACAAAGTAAACAATTTGTGTTTCATGGATGGATTACTTAAGTTGTTTGGGCCTTTTTATTCAAAAAATGCAGTTGAATTAAAATTTCAGCTGTTTCAAATTGTCAAACTCAGTTTGAAGTTTGAGTAATACCTTAAGTTTGTTTCGAGAAATCGGGGCCTTAACTTAGTCTTGCAACTGCTGATCTTGTTAAGAGATGTGTACTGCTAAACATCTATCTATCTATCTATCTATCCACATGGGTACAATGTGTGAGACCCATTTCTGGCGTCCCCCGCCGTCATATTGCTGGAATAAAAGCGGTAAAACCATACTCACTAACTTACCATGATAGTTTTTTGAAGGATCGTGCCTGCTGCAAAGCCGACTTTGAGGCTGTCATCAGCAAAGACATCATCTAAACTATTAAAGGGAAGTTCTTCTTTGGTGACGGTGAGGGAGGCGATGAGGTTGCCGCTGTAGGCGGCGGTCATCACAATAATGTACAGCCACCAGAAGCTAACCAGGATCCGACCGGAACTGGACTCCGGAAGATGGACGCCGCCTGGTGAATTGAAATGGACGTCACATATCTCACTTACATACTCAAAACAGTTTCAATGAACCAAAAATAGAATGTGAGTGACTTGGGTGTTACTTTGAACAGTATTCTAGTCAAAATCACGTTGTGCCAGCTTAATGTGGAACTAATATGGTGCTGAATAACTTATGGTCATATAGTTCTGGCGTGCCCATGGGACGCAACTCGACGAGGCGAATTGCAATCCGGGACAAGCCGAATAGCTGAATTCCGGGACAAGCCGAATAGCAACTCGTGCCCATCTGGAAGCATTTTTATTGGCGCATGAACATCAGAACTACTTTAAACAAGAACAATAACTCTATCTTGTTTGATTATAATGGTACTTAATGTCACCGATGCACTGTATATTGTATTGCTGTTTTTAGTTTTGTTTTTATTTATTTATTTTAAAGAATTAATTATCTTTGATACAAATAAAAGGCGAAACAATATTAAACACATATTCGAACGTAATTATTACCAGCTGTTCACCTTTATTTCCAAATATATATTTCTTCATAGGGTTTACAAATCGCAAATGAGATTTACTGTATTGCATATACAAAATATATGCGTTAAAATTGACGTTAAACTATTTCTCAAACTGAACATTCATGTAACCTTGCTGCCAAATCCCTAGAGGAATTTTGAAATGAATATGCTGAAAAATATATGAATGCCCCCCAAAAAAGTCAGACTAATATATCCAAAATGTTAAAGCTTAAAGTTGATTAGTTATATATCGAGTGATCTTTTTGTTTTAAAACTCGTAGCGATTTATAACTATACTGATGGGCAAAAGAAACTTTCTGTTGCAAAATTGTTCATAATATCAACATAAGAAAATATAATCAAATGCAAATTGCCCCATAGTTATTGCCAACAACAAGGGTTCGATTCTGACCAACATCAGCGCTCAAACGCACCTCTTGACAATCGAAAACAGCAAAATGCACGTGTTTTGCAAGTAAGGGTAACATGCACGTGCATGCACGGTATGAAACCACATCACAGCACAGAGCAGATCGTACTTCAGCAGTGGCTGAAAACCACTTTACAATGCCGAAGTTAACTTCAGCAGAGAAGCATTACCAACAGACTGGTCAGACCTCAGACGGGCCAAAACAGGCAGACCCCGGGTGACAACTGCGCAGGAAGACCGCCACCTGAGGACGTTATACCTTAGAAACCGCTTCCTGACGGTAACGTCATCAGCATCAACAGCATTCGGTCACCCAGTGAGTCGAAGGATAGTGTCAAGGAGACTACGGGCCTATGGTATCAGGGCCTACTGACCGTGCCTGGGGACGCTGCTGACAGACAGACATGGTCGCTCGAGTTGTCCAGAACTTCTTTCACGCCAACAAAGTCAACGTGGCCTGCATGCTCTCCTGACATGTCAGCAATCGAGCACGTATGGGACCATCTTCATAGAGTTATTCAACGGAGACAGAATCCACCAGTTACAGTACAGCAAATGACTCAAGTCCTTGTCGACGAATTGAGGCGAATCCCAGCTGACGTCATCAGACTTCAGTCAGAAGACGTGTGTTTGCATGTATTCTATTCAGAGGTGGTCAAACTCGCTATTAGAAACTTCTGTTCACGCTTTGCTGTGTTTCCAAAATGGACCCACTGATCGTGAAGTCTCTAGTTTGACCCCATGTCGACCATAACCTGTTCAATAAGTTATCAGCCTTGTTAAAATTCGAACGTTTGTACTTAGCACGTGCCTATGTCATTGCTTCACAAATTATATATTGCAAACTTCGATTTCTTGTTTTTGTTTTTAAGTGAGATCAAATTGAACGAGGAGAAAGTTTCTTTTGTCCGTCAGTACATATTTCCTAGAAATGGTGTAAAGCGCACGTACAATTCCTGAAAGAAGCCCACAAGATTGTGAGAAATACATTCAAATACACCCATGAGAGCCGTTATGCAAGCATACGCACGTATGTGAATCTCTCACCGTCTATCGCATTACTCTTATTAAAACCTTCACATTAGGCAGCACAATTCTGTTAGCTACGTTCTTTGTTCTTTCAATATGACTATATATATGTTTCATGATGTTTTAAACAATGACATAATGCCATAAACGATTGAAGAGCTTGGAATTATTTTTATCAAAGCACCGCAATCATTACGCGCGTTCTGATTGGTTTGTCGTATTTTCGCACATAACAAGCATCGAGACGAGGACGAATTTTCTTGGAGGTCACGGAAAGGAGCGAGTGCTGACGAATGGGCGAATTGCGTTTCTTTTAACCACTCAAATACAACCAATTTCGCCCGTCCGCTGTTTTACTGGTTGAGGTTAGAAATTAGAAACATTTAAAACTACGGATGGACTTTCCTCAAATGAACTAGTACTACTAGTATGTGATCGTGGCTTTAATCGAAAAGGGAAACAACAACAATAGCCTACATCCCTTTAGTCTTTATCGCTCAAAGATGAGGATACCATCCGTTTAATAACTATACACGAAATAACATTACGCGCGGAACCATTTCTAGCATGTTGATCATACGTAAAGGGAAAGTGTACTCTGCAATGTCTTGAATGGAACTCGTATAGCTGACCGGCTTTGATTGAACGGTCAAAATTCGCGAATGGTCGTTCTGACATGAGTTGTGTTTGGCTGTCTCCAGATCTTTTTTCCCTGATTTTAATGAGGATGGATAATCTAGTTCCATGTGCACTTGATTTTACACCACACTACGCATGCACCTTAAACCTGTATTACTGAAATAGTTTGCTTGAATATGTAAATTCTATGGGTTATTGCAGTTGTTGAAAGACCAACAAACAAATGCGCATGGAATAGACAGGGGTCAATTCCAGAATGTACAGATATCTGTAAATACCTCCGGCTACATATCCGTTAATTGGGATCAAGACATCATTCCAAAAAGACAGGTTTCACCCTTTGGAGCACACTCGCCCATTTATGATATCAATCAATAATAGTATCTATATTAAACTATAAGATATCCGTCGACACGGCGCGTTAAAAATGATATACTGGTCAAAGAGTTCAACCCAATTCCCACATTCACTCCCCAGTAACACATTATAAATGCCCATGGAAACTCACATGGAACACGCCACACCTACCCTGATGTATGGTCGAACCAAACAGATACATCACAGCATCAAGAGCTCCCGCTGGTTTCCATCCCTTTTCTACGGATTTGTCATCGTTGTAGAATGGATTGTTCCATTCCATTGCCAGGTAGAGCAGGACTACCCCAATTAGAACCGCACCCCCAACGGCATACACCTGCCAGCGGAACGGATCGGTCAGGGCGCTTGACAACTTGGACCTGCCTCTGGTGTTCCTCAGTATCAGACCGTTGCTTGACGCATGGACAAATGGCAGGAAGTCACCGTGGAGATCTCGACCTTCCGTGTAACCCATTGGAGCCGCAACGAAGTCCACTTCCTGTGTTAAGACAATACAGTTTAACTGACAACGTGTTTTGTTTGCTTGTTTCTTTCATTGTTTTACGCCGCACTTAGCAATATTTCAGCCAAATAGCGGCGGTTTCTCAATAATCGAGTCCGGACCAGACAATTCAGTGATTGACGCCACAAACATCGATCCACGCATTTGGAATGATGACATCTGTCAACCAAGTCAGAGAGCCTGTGACCACCCGATCCCGTCAGTCGCCTCTTACGGCAAGCATGGGTTGCTGAAGATCAATTCTTACCTGGACCTTCACGGTGTGCAATCCTACTGTTTAAAATTAGTGCATTAACCAACATTCATTTGGCCAAGGTATATTAATCTGAAACTGGATATATGTTCAGCAACAGCCGTAAAACCAGATAAAATTTATAAATCAATTAAATCTATGAACCATTAAACGCATTTTGAACGATGTAGTTTTTGTGACATACTGTTGTTTTTCAACAGTCTGGAGCATGAATAATTTTCAATAATTTACTTTGACAGCATATTTTCTTCGAAAAAGAGTTCGACTATATAAACTGCTTCTTTAATAGGTGATAATTGTAACTCTGACAATTTAAATAATTCTAAGGATGAGTATGGCGAAGAATAACAGTCTTGGTTTGCCGATAAATTAGCGCCAAGTGTATCTTGCTCAATTGACAAAATTATGTAATTCCTTACACCACATGTTCCCGTGTTTCTTTCAGAGGAGCAGTTGACTTGACTTTGCATGTGTTTGTGACACGTACCCCAAAGGGCAGGATACTCTTACTGTTTCACGAATACGTGTTATTATGCCGATTTGACAAGCATGTTTGTGAAATAGATGGAATCGTACTGCGTACTCTTCTGTCAACAGCGAGTTTTCATGGTTTGACTTTGTGCAAACGCTTTTTTAGTCAACACTTTGGTCATGTTTAGATATAGCTAATTAACAAACACAGTATATATATTTTTGGGTTATCTTACCGATTCATGTGTCATGAAAGATAGAAACTAATAATTGATTCTATTTTCATATCCATATCTATTTCGTTCACCGAACAATGATTCTGGGAAATAAATCTAAATACATATAATAAATATACTGGACAAAATAAGTAAGGGATATTGGTAAACTATTTTTATGATTGATATTTTATCAGTGTGTAAATGAATAAATAGATCAGTATTCATAATTTCAAAATTTACATATATCCGTAACTATTTTTATCCAGTATAGATGAAAACGCCTTAAACCAAAATTCTTAAAAGACTTGACACTAACCATACTACCGTATTGTGTCCGAACATAGACAAGGGGATCAAGCTGTAGACAGTTATGCACAAGAGGCCGTCACTTCAATTGACGCTATTGTAATAAATTAAATTTGCTGAAGCATTCTTACCATCCGCTGTAACATGCCAGTAAGTCCTGAGTAATTGGAAGAGTCTTCGGAAATCGGCACTCCCCATTCTCCGTCAGCCGGTTCAGATACAGAGTACCTATCAATAAAAAAAAGCTCACAATATAAATTTTGAAATTTTGTTTTCCTACATTTCGGGATAACATAGAACGGTAGCTGAGGTCCATAGCTGTATCGCCCTAGAAATGGCCCTAGAAATCGCCCTTATACAATATAAAGAAATACACGCGAGAGAATATAGTTTTACGTAATCTCATGGTAGAGACAGGGGTGGAAATAACTTTAAAATTGCTAGTGTACTCCGGTACAGTGGCACATGTAAAATCACTTGCCCTGATAATTTTTCCACTATACCGGCCGTTTTCTTGTTGATTTTTTAAATAAACAACATAATTAACATTGGAAAATCAACTGGACACCGGTACGGTGTGATATACAAATTTGCTTGCTCGACAGAAAAACACTGGACTTGGGCGTCGGGCAATGGGTTATTTCCACCCATGTAGAGAACCTGAAAAAGGTTCTTTGGACACTGTAAAAATGTAGCTAGGGGAGACTTCAGGCCACAATTCGAACCATAACCACAAGACTACTTTATGACTGCCATGATAATATGACATGCCTTAAATATTTAAGTGAGTTCTTGAGCAACAGTTAGGCCTCATCATTAGCCTGATGTGTAACCATGAGTAAAGGTGAAAGTGATGCTCGTCATGTCGAAGGGGTCGCGGGTTCGATCCCCGGTCGCGTCATACTAAAAGACGTTAAAATATGGTACTTGTTGGTCCCTGCCTGGCGCTCGGCATTAATGGGTACAACAAGGACTGGTCGGCTCGGAGTCAGTATAATGTGTCTGAGTGGGGTATTCATGCTTCACTGCGGCATGGTATCTAAGTGGGCTAGCACTATAAAACCAGCTTAAGTCTGGGCTAGTACAAGCAGCCGCACATACACATACACACGCATGCACGTCGTCATATGAGCGAAATATTCTCAAGCACGACGTTAAACCCAATTTCACCTCACCTCATGTCGAAGGCCCAGGTTTCATTCCCCAAATGAGTCCAATTTCTGGTGTCCCCCCGCGTCAATATTGCTGGAATGCTAGTATTAGCTAAAGCGGCGTAAAATCATACTCATATACTTAGGTGAAACCTTTTACTAGTTTTTCACTTATTTTTTGGTTTGTCTGTTGTGTGAAGCCGCATATTCCAGCTATATGGCGGCTCTGTAAATAACCGAGGCTGGACATGACAATACAGTGAGCCTGACCACCCGATCCTGTTAGTTGCCTCTTACTACAAGCATGGGTTGCTGAAGACCTATTCTAACCCGGATCTTCATAGCCCAGCGGATAAGTGATCAAATTGTGCACTTCGTGTTACTGGCCTGAAATTTGGCATGATCATAGCTTATACCCTTCTTATTAAATAAAGATCGAGAGGGCTCGTAGATTTTTCATTTTTGGGGGGCACCTTTATTTCCCACCCTTGTCCACCACTTGAAATCACTAATGCACAGATTCATCAGCTTGAAAGATTTGTTGTGTATGACAGAGAAAGCAATCTGATGCAAGTGAAAGAAGCAAGAAAGTATTTGTTCGCCACGAAGGGGAGAACATTGAACAATATACCCCCAACAGAATCAGCTTTGATCCAACAGATAAAGAGAGCTGTATACCAGGGGAGCTATGTTTGGGGGCAATCTCTGATGAAATCACTGGAGTTACCAAGCCCTCTGGATTGGGGCTGGCAACAACTCTCTTGGGGAGAGCTTGGACAACTATGGACAACTCTCCTGGAGGCATCAAAGAGCTGCCAGGAACTGTCCAAAATGTAAAAAAAACGGTGCAAGTGCGTAAATGCTGTAACTGATTTTCTGATTCAGTCAAGGTAGATACAATTATATTCAAGAGACGATCGAGTAACTTGCCACAGGTAGATGAGATAGCTACTTTGACAGTGATGTTGAAATCAAACATGTTTGCGTTGATTTTGATATGGTTATAATAAATGATCCATATCCAACCATGCTCATGCATTATATATGTAAGTAGATCTAATGATATATTCCTTTTATATAAACTTTCATCTGTTCTCGCAATATTCTTGATACATAATTTATTAGGATTTGGAAATTTTAAATTGAGTTAAGATGAATTTTTTTTGAACATTTATTTTTGTCCAACTTAAAAGAAAAAAACAATGAAAAGTAGACAAAATCTGCGAGGCTTCTCGTTTTGAATTTGCAAAGAAATGATTATAAATGTTAGATCATGGGATGAAAATATCCGTCAATTTTCCCATTTTCGGGTAGTTATGATATAAACTGACTTCCGTAGACCTAACCGTTAAAGATAGAAAAACATGAATTGAAATAAATAATGAAAAATCGGTATAAGCTAGATTTCATACTTGGTACACGTAGTGCACGATTCAGTGAAAATACTGCACTTTACCGCTGGGGTATCACGGGTGTCACTTTGGTTGGCAATTACAGGTTAGATGAAACGTACGTAAAATTGAGGACATTTCCAAGGTGGTTTGCAAGGTCGATGCTGGCTTGTTTGTAGACGACACTTCCATCTTTCTCTTCATACCTCTTAACAAACGGCAGCCACTGAAAGTAACGCATGTCAATTAACAATTAACAGAACGGTACTAATTAAACGTTAGTGAACTACAAGATGAATACTTAATCTTTGTCACAGGGCTATGATATCGCTGCACTGACAGTGAAACGACGTAAAATCCGTCCTTTATGGTGTCGACTGGTCCAAGAATCACACCAACGCTGTCACATATGAAGTCAGTAGGGCCGGGTGTGTCCGTGAACGTTTTTTTGTTTTGTTTGTAAAGTTGGTAATATTCTCACTATATGACTATAGTATGCAAATCGAGTGTGATTGTGTGTGATTTAAGTATCTTTTTTCCCTCAAAATCGTAAGAAGGAAAATAATATACCGTTGGAGTGAAGTGAATTTTTCAACTGTTACGAATATCGTACTAATTCATCTGTTTGTTTGTTGTTTACGCCGCACTTAGAAATATTCCATCTTCTTGGTGGCAGTCTGTAAATAATCGAGTCACAACCAAACAATCCAGTGTCAATTAAGTCAGCGAGCCTGACTGTTCAAACTCGCTAGCCGCCTCTTACGACAAGCATGTGTTGCTGCAGACAAATACTGACCTTCAAATTCATCCGTATTCATAGCGACAGAAAATTGTTCTTAGAAACTTTATATATATTACTAACAAGCGAAATAAATGCCTTACTGCTACTGATTTTCGAAAACCAAGTTTTAAAAAGCTCCGCCTTAGATTTCGTGAAAATGTAATCAGGGACCCACCTCAAGTACCGCGGCTCTCAGTTTCCTCTGGTTCAGCCCTAGTTTCAGATTCGGGAACACATCATCGTGGGACGCATCATGGCGGACGGGGGATAACTTCCGGCCATGCGGTTTCCATAGCAACGTGTGTAACATAGTGTTTATGGTTCTCATGTCGTCTTCTCTTCTGACAATCTAGAAATGAATAAACAGGGTGTATTTATTTTTGCCAAAACCACGTTTCTACTAAACTACCTAGTTATGACATTAGGACCAAAGTCATTCCATTAATCTACAGTGAACAACATAACGTTAGGATTAAAAAATATTTGTTTTTTGCACACAATTTCATAAAAAAACATATCCCCAAACATTCGGATCCTTAACTTTGTTTGTGTTACCGACTATTGCTTTTCTGTTGCCTGTCTATTATCGCTGCCGGGGAAGCATTACAAATCGATCTGACGCAATTTCTAACGTTCTAACATGTATTAATGCAGTTAGTGATGCATTTTAGGCATTGAAACAGAACCCCCCTCTGAAAAACCGTTACAGTTGGGCTTCGTCTAGCGGGACCTTACTTACCTGAAGAAAATGGTCCGTGAAATCAGATCTGTTCCATGTGTGCTCTGATGACAAAACCTCTGATGTTGTTTTCACTACCCACTGAAAGAAAGGTAAATGTTGGCCATTATTTCTTAAGTATTGTACTTTCCGAAATTGTATTGTAAATAAATTATTGTATCTCTTCGCAAATATTTTGTTATTACCGCGTGTATCATAAGGATCTGTTTGAAACACTCTTAATGTCCACACATAAAAGACAAACAAGCATGTGAGGGTGTGCCGAGAAGAAAGGGTGTAAACGTTGCGTTCAATATTTTTGCAGTTATAAGGGTTAGAATCGCCCTTCAGAAACCCGTGATTGTCCTAAGAGGTGACTAACGGGTGGTCAGGCTTGCTGACTTGTTTGACACATGTCATCGTATCCCAATTGCGCAGATCGATGCTCAAGCTGTTGATCACCGGATTGTCTGGTCAAGAATCGATGCTTGGTGGGGCGTAAAACTAAACTCACTCCGTTTGTGTTTAGTGGCTGCTTGCTCTTGTGTGGATCTATTTATAGACTAAGTGCAACCCAAGAGATAGCACTCAGATACTCCATTCAGCTGCCAGTCCTTGTTTTATCCGCTTATGGGCAGTGGGGGTAGCCTAGTGGTTAAGGCGTTCGTTCGTCACGCCGAAGGCCCCTGTTCGATTCCCCACATGGGCACAATGTGTGAAGCCCATTTCGGGTGTCCCCGCCGTGATATTGTATGCTCCCCAGGGAGTTGAGATTGACAATACGATGTGCCGTTGAGATTGACATCCAGTGAACGAGGGAAAAACAAAGCGCCTTTGAGCAGCTGAGCGGAGCTGGATATCGGCGCTATACAAATGTATATATGATGATGATGATGATGATGATGATATTGCTGGAATATTGCTGAAATCGGCGTAAAACTAAACTCACTCACTCACTCAATTTACCCGCTTATGACAAGCACCATGCAGGGTAACAACAATTGACATTTTATAAAGTCTGTTGGTACGACCCAAACCGCCAAGCGTCCGCTACGCGGGCAACAAACAATACATATATGCAGACAACTGACCTGTTTTAGTTTGCTGATGTCGAAGTTCTTGTATGAGGTGCTGATGACGGCGACATGGTCCAGTTTCAGGTCCATGCCCTCTATGGATCTTAAAGCAGGTCGAGGGACTAACAGCAGCCATTGGGAGAAGTGACGAAACAAGGAACCCTTCCCAAAATACGTGTCAAACTCCTCAGCCTAAAAACAAGAAGGTGTAGTAAATCTTATTACTTTCTGCTTAGCTACTCCCAAAACTATCGTTCTGTCTAACGCTAACAGCATTAAAATGCTCCTTCCGCCTACGACACACACAATAGAAAGTAAAGCAAAATATAGTTTAAAGTTAGCCTTGGATCGTTTGCTCAGCGAAGATTGGCGGAGCGCTGCTGCACTTGACACCAAGGACGTTCTGCAGTAATGTGACGGTCCGTCCATCGTGGACAAGCAGATTCCATCTGTGTACTCGTAACTCGTGGCTGTAATCTTCTAATTACTACCTGTGAAATGTTAACAGCTCGTGCCACAATGTTCTAGCTTGGCACGACAGTGTTCCAACTTCCAACATGCCAACTTCCAACGTGCCAATTGCAAGTAAACTTTCCTGACGGTGCAGACGCGAGATGTAAAAAGGATTCATCCGTTTAATTGAGATTAAACAATATCAGGACAATATTCAATTTTGTTTTTATCCAAACTGACACATTTAAGCCCGTCCATGTTCACGTGCACGAACTGGGCGTGTTTGCACGGATTTCAGAACACGTTGTGAATTGAATAATGATTGTTATTTTCTAAATCTGCATACAATCCTACAACCTGGTTACCATAAAATATCCACAAAAATAGGACATCCCTTACTTTTAAAGGCACAGATGTCACAATAATGAAAAATTATATTCATCTGCAACACATTCTTTCTGATATAAAATAGGCAGTCTGCCATTCCTACATACAACTGCTACTCAATTTGTTTTTAAAGACGTGTTATTAAATATATATATTGGTTTGAACATTGTTTTTCAGTCACTTGAGATAGACGAATGCTTGTCTTGCTCCAGCTACAAATTTGTTCAAATACAACATGTACACATCTCACATATAAAAACACACACCTATTGTTATCTCATCGGTAGAATGTTTGGTATATGGTTCGATACTGAATTCTACATTATATTTATTGCTATATCTAGAGCATCATCATTCTCCTCCTCTGCAGAGGAATATATTGGATCAACAGATATATCGAACACATCTTTAAAGTGTTCATGCATTTTGTCAAAGTGCAGTACATTCTTTCCTTAATGCAGCGCAGTCTTTTCCAAAATACTTGACATTTATAAAGTATATGAATAGTTCATCACCTGTAACGGGTGGGTCCATACATTACAAAGACAGATCACACAATAATTCATCATTTAAAAAAAGCCTAACAAACTCCACATTATACACATTAAGCATAAATCGTGTTACTCCTTGAAATATTTTTGTCCTATGTTCCAACAGGATCCATTGAATTTCATGAAGCACATACATCAATCGCAATCCAATTGATGCGCAGTGTTCGTAATTCACATATTGACGAATGGCATGTTCAAATTTACCTTCTAACCACAAACATGACACACCGATTCAATACCAGTCTCAACATCCAACTTATCAATTTGTACGACCTTGCTTGAAAAGACAAATACCATAGATAGAATTACACAGTCACACTATTCTCGGCTGTATGCTTACTGGGGTGTGTTATTGGGTAATCGCTGGGAACAGTGAAGCTTGATCTTCATATCTTCAGCTTCATGAAGATGACTGATAAATGTATCAGGTAAATCAATTTCATTGGAACGAGTTGTGTCATTCTTATCTTTCTGTTAAGTCACAGCCTTGGTACCCGCGCAGGAAGGATATATAACTCTTCTCTCTTCCTATTCAGAACATGATGTCAGCCTTATACTGTGTCGATGATAAGGGACACATTTGCTGCTCCTAAAGCGGGCACGATTCCCACTGCAACCACCACTGTATCTCGCTTCAAATAGACAACGTGAAGAGTTTCGGTAATGTACCCATGTAATCCTCGTATATGTACGCTAGGTTTCTCAGAAAATTGTGGAATTTCTTCTACCATTGGGATCTGGAGGGTCTGTTATCTCTGGGGATATACACAGGTTTAGAGACAGAGAAGTCATACACAAAACATATGACAAAACATATATTATCCTCAGAAATAGGTCTTATTTCGAGTAGTTGCCAAAATATCTATGAATATTATATGAATGAACCACTGAACACCAGTGATGATACCAAGTGTTTGCGTAAATGGTCAGCATAATCTGTCTTCCGGTAGCATCCGCCATTCACACCAAACCTTAAACAATACAGACAACCAAGTAATCGAAGATACTACTACTTTCTTGACATGTCAGTTGTTAAGAGGTAGGTTATGTACATATTTACTTGTTAATCCACAGCTTCCAGCAAAGGCAGTTGGTGTCATGTAACTGAGGCAAAATCATGCGGAATCCAATCCACCTGATCGTTTGGTTATTTTTCCAACATGAACTTGTCAGTTGTGCTTTACACAAACAAGTCAGTCAGTGCATTTTTACTACCTCAAAATGATTACGGAGAAAATGCAGGAAATCCATCCAAATGTACGACCACTAATTTTGACCATGTAGAATTACTAACTGTAGCATATGACTGACTGAAAGAAGTACACATTCCTCTACTACGGAAAGCAACACTTACCAAGTACCGAGAAATCAATTAATTGTCCTTCAAAACAGATATTACTATCACATGAAATGCACATTTTGAACACCTCAGCTGGTGTGAGCTCTTTCAACTTCTCATATTACATGCTTTGGATGAACATCATCTAACACACACCTAACCTTTTTTGTGTGGAAAACTCAACAATCACCATTGATGGACTGACATTCTACATTACAAATACTGTCTTTCTCCTTTGTTTTTTGCCACATAAGGCCCTGTACTCTTCTGACAAGATTTGCTGTTTCACAAAACGGAAGACCAACCACTGGTAGTCTACATCACGTGCTTTGTTTACCCCTCTGATGATCTTACATTTTCACGTATAATGTCCAAAAGCTATGAATAACCCTGAAATTAACGTGTGTAATACGTATGAGGTCAGAATCAGATAAGTCAGGCGTAATGTCACTTTTATAAGTATTTTGCCCACTTAATAATGGTAGGGAAAACCCACAGTGATGCAGAATTTGGTGAAACCCACGAGGACGCGACAATTCAAGATTTTGTAGATCGCATCAATAACTTTAGTGAGTGAATGAGCTGGTTTAGTTTTACAGCACTTTAAACAATAGTACAGTGATATCACGGCTGGGGACACCAGAAATCGGCTTTACACATTGTATCCCTGTGGGGAATTGAACCCGGGTCTTCGGCGTGACGAGCGAACGCTTTAACGATAAGTCTACCCACGTTCCCTAATAATTAAGAGCTAGGTGCCTTGATAAGCTGTCTGGCATTTCATATTCAGGGCAGTTGAGATCTGTTTAATAAAGATTGCATTTAATAATGTAATGATTTTCTGAAACGGATGGAAAAAATGGTCCTCTTTACTGAACCAAGAGTGTCCCGTGACATGCTCGATGTTCTGAACAAATAATTTGACATATTTGTGTTGCTACCTGTGTACAAGAAATAGTAACGGTAAATACGTCTGTATTAGTAAGGAACACTGTCTTGGTGCTAATCGTCCGTTTGTGTGACATTACACTGTAACAATTGTTAAACAGGATGAATTAATGTATTTCCATTAATTCCAGTAAATGGGGACTGCGTGTCAGTATGTGCCAGAAGGTTCCTACTAATGGGACGCATGAAGACAAGTGATGTGCATACATTTAATGTAGAGTCATAATGGCAAATCAGAGGAGTTAGATTGGAATAACATACGCGCGCATGCAGTAAACATTCATCCCATGATTGATACATCGCAATGACTCATTTCATTGTTTAACTTCAATTTAGTTGCTGAAAGGAATTTAAACATGCTGTTCTTGGTCACATGTTGTCAGAGAAAGAAAACAAGGCTTTTACCAACTGTAAACATAGAATTAGACAAAGAAAAATGCTGAACGCTCTTTAACATTTAAGCAGGAAGTTAATGAACTTCATCATCACACGGAGACTGTTTTAGGGAAAATTATTTTCGGAAGATCAGTTTATCTTGGATTATGTGTTTGATGTGAACAATAGACAGGAAACTGAAAAATATGTAGTTTAAAAAATTGATGTGAAACAAAGTGCGTTCTTTTCTGTCGGCATTGTATGAGCTATCTACACATGCAAAATCGACTGACGTGTGTTAGTTGCTGGTGGTTTTAAACTGGCTATTTGTTCGTTTACCTTCATCTTGATGAATCGTTGTGTTGGATAGATCTGGCGCCATTAGAGGACAATTATAGTTGAACGAACGCAAATACCATGTATGATGGCATACATTTACCCAATCATAACATCATAAGTGTCAGTCTATATCTACCGGTGGATACTATCAGTGAAGGCTGGACATTATTTGACATTTTCTTTCATACGTTAGAGAAGCAATACATGGATTGGAATACCATTAGAAATAAGTATTGAATTGTGCTTTGGAAATTGGAACAAGGCAATTGGATGAAAATAACCATCATTGTTGGCATCGTTCTTACAAACGGTAATCTTAATATCGTGGTACCATTCAAGAAGGCTTGAAAAACTGTGAAATAAACACAAACAAATGTCTGTAGTAAGATGTTTTCTAAAAGATAAGTCCCCATGGTCCTAGTATGGTGGTCTACCTTCAGTTTTTGGCGATATATAGCCTGTTTTTATATTGTATTGTCCAAATAGTACTATTAGTTTTAACTTTCCACGCTAGTTATAATTCTAATTGTGATATTCTAGTTGTTTTACTGTCCTTTGACAACAGGTTTATATAATATCCAGATGTTCCATTTCAATGTCAAATATGTTCTCGTCACGAAATATTGCCGATGTGACGTTAAATATTAACTCACTCACTTTAAAAGATAATAATGGATATTGGTTATAAATAATTAATTACATATGGAAATATACAGATATTTGCTTATTTCGACAAAAGGTAATTTCATACAATTTAACATCGGCTAAATTGTCGAGTCCAAGAGATGCTGTTTACATCGCTCTTACATATGTGTATGAAACTATTCATTGCGCGAACAGAGCCAAGTGAGCTCGTACCTTGTTACTGATTTGTAATTATCCAATCTAAGTACATTCAAATTAGAATAAAATTCTTTCGCATGATGACAATAGAATCAACATTTGCTTTCAGCTGTGGAACGACGTGGTTAGGGACATATAGAAAAAAGGTTGAAATGGCTAATTCTTGACAATCTTTTAATGGTTTGGCAAGGGGAAAAAGATATTTCTCCAGATATTTATTGAATATCGTTTAAATGACATGACTGAGGAGAACTAAAGACTTTACAAGTTATAGACTACTGCAAATTACTCCTCTTTGACCGCATATCTTTTGATAAACAAATTACAGAACGTGCAACAGCAAGATTGTTAAGAAAAAATGACACCATCAGTCCGGTCTTATAGCAACTACGCTGCCTGTCTGTGAAATATAGGATACAAATCTAATGTTCAAAAGGGATAGGGTCTGACTACCTCACCTGCCCACTTCCATCACGAACCATCAAGCTACTCGTTCGTTAAGATCAAGCGATCAGTAACTGTTCCAAATTTCATCACCACCATCAAGCTTCTCGTTCGTTAAGACCAAGCGATCAGTAACTGTTCCAAATTTCATCACCACCATCAAGCTTCTCGTTCGTTAAGACCAAGCGATCAGTAACTGCGCCAAGTTCCATCACCACCATCAACCTCCTCGTTCGTTGAGACCAAGCGATCAGTAACTGTTCCAAATTTCATCACCACCATCAAGCTACTCGTTCGTTAAGACCAAGCGACCAGTAACTGCTCCAAGTTCCATCACCACCATCAAGCTACTCGTTCGTTGAGACCAAGCGATCAGTAACTGGACCAAGCGACCAGTAACTGCTCCAAGTTCCATCACCACCGTCATCCTACTCTTTCGTTCAGAGCAAGTGATCAGTAAGTTCTTCAAGCTTCATCACCACCATCAACCTACTCAATCGTTGAGACCAAGTGATTTAACAACTAACAACGGCTGTTAGTTCTAAGGACACCACCCCAGCCTTTTCACCACAGGAACAGTTAAGTCCCAGTTGAAGACTTCCTTCTTCAATACTACCTTTGATAGTAGATATGTTGTATGAAAATATGCAAATGCTGCTAAAACAACAACAGCTCACAAAATTGTAACAACACAATTTTAGCAACTTAAAACAGGGACAGGGCAAATGCAGTGGTTACTTACCTCTTTAAGTATTTGCCTAATAAGTGGTAAAGAACACAGTACTACAAATCGTAGTCTGAGTTTCATCTTGTCCATGCCAATGCTTTCCATGATCGGTTCCAGGAACTTCAGATTACCGTCTTTCTTCACGAACACTAATTCTGACTTGACACCAAGCCTTGATAGGGCCCTGGCCAGGCTGTGCGAGTCAAAACCTGAATAAAACGAAATATACACAACACTAGAAAAAAATAATACTGTTCATGTCCTGGAACAACAATTCAAACTGAAACAGTGATGATACCAGATGTTCGCGAAAAGGTAAGCGTACCCTGCCCCACCGGTGGCACCCGTCATAAACATATGCTTAATCTAGTCATTTATTCACCTGAAATAATTCGGGAACGTATGGTGTAAGTCAAAATAGGGAATTGCATGGAATATCATTTTTGTCACTGATGTATCAAATTTGGATATTTCCTCTACATGTCTACCATAAAACTTCTTGAAAGTTTTACTGAGGCCTTGAATGTTGTAACCTTGATCAAACAACTTCTGAGCAAGAGTAGCATGACGCTCTTTGAAATCCTGATATAAAGAGCACGCTCGATTGTACCTCAAAAGTTGTCAAATGTAAACACCAAAAGCTGGAGCTGTTGGAATATTGCTCGACATGAAAGGGATGTCAAGTACAGAAAATAACAAAAATTACAGAAAAAACGCCATTTTGAGTGCAAGGAAAATTACTTGTAAAGATTATATAAAAATATAGAGAAATCAATAATGCAAAGCTGACAACAAACTGATAATAATTCGTATCATATCGACAGCCTTAAATTGTATCACCATTCTGGCAGTATAGCTCAGGTTTCTACATACTGTTGTCCCTGTCACTGAGTATCGTCGTCGAGTTCCAATCTAGCGTGTGGGTGAGGCTGCTGGTGTAGTTGAGGAAGTCGGACAAAGGGGGCTCCAGGGGTACTCTGTGCTGGATGACAGACGATATCTGTCAACATCGTTCTTATAAAACGACTCCGGTCTGATGAATTGCACTGACTCTCCCCTCACTGGGTCTGGCGCTATGATGAGGTCAAAGTTGCGGTTCCTCATACTTGAAACTTTCAAAATGAATATTTAATTGTTAAAACAGACGCATACGTTCGACAGCATGCTCACTGACTATTAAAAAGTTGGATTGATGTTTGGATGATCTGGCCTTGCCTATAATACAATATGTGAATATTTTAGAAAAACAAACAAACAAACCCAGGGATAGATTTATGTACTGCCACATCACTAAAATTGGTTAGACTTATATTGCTTATAAACAGTCCAGTCGGGGACAGATTAATGTTCAGTGTGAGTGTGTTAGGTGCACATTAGCAACACCCATACACCCTCTCGGCACCCACACAAAATGAGTCCATGAGGGGCTGTTTTTTAATCACTATCAAATAGTCGTGATACCAAGTGTTTGCGAATAGGCGAGGGTATCTGTCCCACTGGTGGTACCCATCATAAACAAAGGGAAAGGCAAGTCAATTGGTCACCTAAAACACACACACGAACGTATGGTACATTACAAAATAGGGAATTGCATCGGCCATCAGTGTTGTCTCTGATGCGTCAGATTTGGAAAAGTCCTCCGCTTTACTGTTGCCTTTAGTGTTGTAGCCTTGATCAAACAACTTCTGAGCAAAGGTCATATGACGCTCTGGAAATCTTGGTTAAACAAGCATGCTGTCTCAAATGTTGGACTTCAAATGTTGTGAAATGTAAACACCAAAGACAGAAACTGTTGATATACTGCCCGATATAAATTGAAAGTTGACAATTGGAAAATCGAAATCATCCCTTTTGTCATACAGCCTTGTACAGAGTTGTATGTCACTGTGAATCTATATTCATAGCTCTTAATATGAAACCCATGAAGCAGACTCACCGGGCAAGCTGACGTGGATAAATCAGTGGAAGGGAATTGACTATTTTCTTCGAACGGTATCAGATGATGAATATACTTTCTTGGCCAGATTACATTCTGACTCACATGCTTAAAGAAACCGACCCGCAAGGTGGGGGGTTAACGTTGTTTAGAATATTACTTTAGTTATATCAACATTTCGTAAATACACCCGACCCCATGATGAATTCGTATTGTTTTGGGACAAACCCACAGCTGTTATGTTGACCATTAATATAACGATTTACTGGTGTACATGAGCTTACAAACACAACCTCATTGCCAACGGTCGAATACCACCTAGTTTAGCTAAAGACCTATCGTCCTTGTTCGTAAAAGAGAATATGAGAAGTTGTCGAAGATTGTGATCAATGAATGTGTGGCTCTAACAATGCGGTGAATGTGTGTTTTACTTAATTGTTTGTACACTGACATAGATATGACCATGTTTGATAAGCTGTTCCAAGATCGTGTACAGTACTAATGGATTACTGGTAGCCCATTATTAATGTTCCTTTATGAACGCTATTGACAGTTAAGTGTTCCCATACGCATACGCACAGTTTAATATTGACGTTACATAGAAATAGTAAGTGAGTGAGTTTAGTTTAACGCCGCACTCTGCAGTATTTCAACTATATGGCGGTGGTCTGTAAATAATCGAGTCTGGACCAGACAATCCAGTGACCAACAGTATGAACATCAATCTACACAATTGGGATACGATGACAAGTGTTAACCAAGTCAGCGAGTCTGACCACCCGATCCCGTTGGTCACCTCTTACGACAAGCATGGGCTACTGAAGATCATTTCTAACCCGAATCACACGGGTTGAAATAGAATAAGATACCTTGAATTTGACCTTATTTGGACGATCGGATTCAGGAAAATGTCAGTGTTATGGTATATTTGTATAGATTACTTTAAACACTGATGAAGTTTAAAAATAATCATTCTTAAACCCATGGCGTAAATATTTATGTCAGTTCTGGAGACTAATCAGACTGTAGTATTCGCTCAAAAAGACTCCATTGTGCGTAAAGAGCAAATTATGGTCAGCAATGGGCAGCATATCCTTCCCAACATGTTTCATGTACATAATTTAAACACTTACACATATCTCGGCAGTATTCTTGAAAAAAATACCCCTAACAATCACAAGTTGCGCGTATGTTATTTGCGCCAGACATTAGGACTGAGTTTAGGACTGAGTTCTGTCTCCAAAGAAGTTATAGGATATACCATTCGTCACCACTCGCCCCTTTCCGTAACATCCAAGAAGCTATTCATCTTGTCCCGGAATAACACGAGTTGGTCACGAATGAGGATATTCGTCAAGAGCGCTCCAAGGGAGATGACTCTATGGGGTTCGCTTGAGATAATGTTCGGCCGATAGAGGGCGCGAGAGTCGATTTAATATAACGTTGCATTAATTCATTTGAACTTTAAAAATTACTTTTGTAACCTAAATACGCATTTTTTATTGAATAAATTATATGGTAGCTTAACTGAGGGCCGATAGTTAGTATTTTGAGAGAAATGCATTATTTATTTTTAGAGAAGTGTGGTGTGAAATAGAGCCTTTAAGGTATATAGTGAACGAATCGGTCGAAACTGATTGCGAATGGTTACATAATTTACACAGATGTGCACAGCATTTCTATTGCTGTTCAAAACTCTGAACTTAAAAAAGATATATTGACGAACTGTCAATTAAATACACACTCTTATATGGGAATATATGAATTGATGCAGAAAAGCTAATGTTTGTACCTGAACAGATATTCACAAGACTCACTGCTCGAACAACTCTGTACACTTGATTCATCCGTACACTCGTTAATCCGAACATTTTTATAATCTGGACGACTTCATTACTGTCTGAATAATAGCTCTTCAGCATTTCTTCTTATTAATATGTTTCGATTTTGTTGAGTAATTTAAGATATTTAACTTGTGAGAGAGACATCATTTTTTGAATTCTATAAATGACTTACTTTGAGCTACTTTATGGAAAATGGATCCATTTCTTTCATTGAACCAGTGTATGCGTCCGATGTGACCGGTTTCATTATGAGTGATGACCTGGTCGTTGCCACCGTTCTTCGTCACAACACCTGGAAGGAGAGTGAGTGAGTTTAGTTTTACGCCGCACACAGCATATTCCAACTATATGGCGGCGGTCTGTAAATAATCAAGTCTGGACCAGACAATCCAGTGATCAACAGCATGAGCATCCATCTACGCATTCGGGATACAATGAGATGAGTCAGCGAACCTGACCACCGACCCCAGTAGTCGCCTCTTAGGACAAGCATGGGTTACTGAAGATCAATTCTAACCCGGATCTTTACGGGTCCCTGCAAGGAGAACGTCAAAAAAGGTTCCCTTTTTCAACAAAATGTCACGTTTCTTTTCTATCATAAACACTAACATTGTATGATATATAACATTATTCATGTTGAATTTATGTCGTTAATGCGACCATATGGAGTTTGTATTGTGTTGAATAATAAAACTCATTGTCAAATGTTGACAAATACGTATTTGACTAAAATGAATTTGAATATGCTCAGAAAACAACGATTTCATTGATTGAATGCAAAATGCATGTATGAAATGTCAAAGAATAAAGCCCCGGTTTGTTGTTTGCCTTTTCAGTTCTTAATAGTATTTTGTTTTACGTTCTAAAATATCTTACATCACCATTACACAGGAAAAACTGGGCATATATTCTTCTTTTTGACAACAAGGTAGATGTTATATAACAGTTATAACAATATAGCCTACACTATCGTATATATAACAATCATTTTCTGGAACGAACGAATATGGAATTTCGTATGGATCAACTGAATATTTGAAAAAAATACATTATGCAGACATGGTAATCTTTGTGGGCATATAAGTGTAAAAAGAACATAAATACATAATATTCTTTTATGGTTAACACTTTTGCTATAGATCAAAAGTACCCTTTAGAGCTAGTTCCTGCTCCGTTTAATGTATAACAATGTGATTGTGTTGTGTTTGTCGCAGACAATGTTTTTCCAATTGTCTGAAACCAAATATAGGTTCCAACATTTTCTGGGACAAATTACTGTATTCGATAGAATCGTTCGCTTACGTAATGGTATTGAAATGTTTGTGGAATATTGTTAATCTTGGTGGATCATAGAAGTTTTATATTAGCGCTAACATGGAATCAGTTTCAGGGAACAACACATTCTGTGAATATGGCCTCAGCAATGTATTAACTACACATCAGGTAAGTACTTTATTATTGTGATTTACCATATATTAGTCATCATTGTCGAAATCACGTCACACGGCACAGGTAACTTTGATTAAATTCACATACCTATTTCAATCAGCGACGCTGTGGCGTACTGTATGATAACGACGACCAGAGCAGGGACGACTCCATCCATACCGCCACCGTCGTCAACAGCGTTATATTCCTAACTGATTTTATCTACCATCATGCCATCCCATCCACAGACACCTCGCCAACGTTAACAGCACATTAAACATGTCCGCGGCATCAGCAAATATGGTATAATGAACGTGATCAATAGAAACGTGTACGTAAGCGTTAAGTCTGGAACTATCCAGGGTATGGGGTAAGGGCATCCACACAACCACATGAAGTGTACACACAGACTGGAAACGTACGGATCAAAGTGATGTCAACAAAACCATTGAGCGGAGTTCTGTTCTGATATTTGCGTTATATATTATTACCGTTCACATTCGGGAAATCGAACAACAATTGTTCGTAAAAGCAATCTTTGCATGTAGAAATATTGTAGCAACACGTTCAGGTATAATTTCAGCTCAATCATTCTTGCTGTAAAATATTTATTCGAACTCAATTAATTGGAACAGTACCGAATTGTCATGAGGCTCTAAACCTCTGTCAAATAATGCAACATAAACAATGCAGTCCAACGAACAGTATGTGTCACAGGAACATGTTTTCTGTAATCGTGTTGCCATGCCAACATGTTACTTTTTACCGTTACGTTGTTTCAACCAGTTATGTCATACGTTGTTTTAGTATAGGAGGTAACCACTGCGCATTGAGCATTGAGGATTAAACGTTTTCATGTTCAATCTACAAAAAACAACACTCGCTTTTTTATGCAAATTGTGTGAGAGGCGGGTACTTGCTTACCCTTTTCATGCCATCAATATATTAATGAATTTGCTATTTTGCTATTGACGCCTGTTGTCTGTATCGGCAGAAAATCGAGCCTGTATATTCTCTGGCGTTAATGTTCAAACACGCAATTAAATAAATAATTCAAGACTAAACAGATTAATCTTTGAATTTTATCCAATTCAAATTAAATCAAATCGTAATGGGCAATACATACAGTTCCACCATCACACTATAAACTGCTTGATTCTGATTGGTCAAAATAGGAATATAGTCAGGGATTTAGTTTCAAATAATACCTCAACATCAAAATGCCTTTTCAAACAAACCCTTGCGTATGCAAACATCGATTAATTATTTCAGGACCTGATATTCAGTGATCCATTCAAATATTTTTCACCGCATACCACCCGTTCCTGACACACCCAATAGAATATGTTTCGGCGATACTTGATAATGGGTATTCTCAGGCCTGGGTGTTTTATGTGTACAGAGGTGTCTAGAGTTGCACAAACGTCAATAGTTCAAGGTTCAGTCTGAATCCGAGGCCATTAATTATTGACGCGTCTGAGGAGGTACTTTAAATTAAACCAGAATTCCAAACCAGTTTCAGTTAGTTCTCAAACCGGTTCCAATTGCATTTCAAGACACCACGCCGTGTCATGGAGTTACCCAGTACCTGTTGAGGCGAACTGTACCAGTGTCCAGGCCACCGGTTTTGATTTTCAATGACACCTGGCTGAGGAATTTCTTGTACCATGGACTCTGCTTTTGGCAGATATTTCTTATAAATGATGAAAGGGTTTTGTCGGTTCTATTCTAACTATTGAATACGTTAAGCGACAGTTTCCATGGACTTTTAATGCCATCGGGGAGAGTGTTCTCAGAATATTGTTATTTATATAAAATCAGAAATAATTAACAGTATCTGGTATACATCATAGGTACAAAACACTTACACTGCAAATAAATTTCTCTGTACTTATACCGTTATGTGCCAGTGTTTGCAGACATTGCAGAAGTGTTGTGAGGGCAATGGTGTGCTCGTTACGATATAAAGACTGGGAGAACTTTAATTTCTAGGTATTCGGGAACGTTCCAGTGTAGTCTCTATAGTCCAGAGAGGATTTGGTCAATTTCTTTCTTTCAGGAACTGGCAGTAGTGTATTGTGTGTCGGCAAACACCGCCAAAAAGTATACTAATGATCGCATTAAAAGATAAATAAGAATACATGTATATGTAATTGCTTGACAATGTTTTTTCACTCACATCCCTATCTACAGATATCAGATACTGTAGGAAATTGCTCTATAAAGGTCATGAAACTTCAAACAGTTTAACTAACAATAATTCCATATTAAAGGACAGAGGCGCATTTTACTTGAGATCTGAATAGTTTCCGACGCCGATGTTTGCAACTTTGCGATGACCATCGGAAGGGAGACCTCATGTGGGGTGGTCAGACACACAGCAGGATAATGTGGACACCAGAGGCTGAATCTACTGGACATGTGCCTGTTGGAGTGTATCTCAATCTGTATGTCTGAACTCACCTCTGTTTGTACATGATGTACCCTGTAATGAAACCCTGGAATCATGAAGAGCCTATTGAATTATTTTACAATGTTACTCATAACATGTATGAACGCCATCTCGTACCAGTATTATAACATATGAATGTCGGCGATTCTGATTGGTCGGTTGTAACATGCAACATCACACTGTTTCATTGTGAATGACAGCATTGTATTCACCAACTTCTGATTGCCTCTCAATAATCTCAGCATTGTTAATGACGTCTCCGTTTTACAATTGAATAGCACACATGCAGGGTGACTATATAGACGTTGACCTTTGCTGTGTTTTTGCATTTACTTTCTTAAAAGATATATATGTAGTGAGGAACCCGTCTTTATCGAGTTGGGTGAAGTAAAGGTGTGATGTTGCTATAAGTAGTATCCACAAACTGAAAAAGAGGAAACAGAATTAAAAAAACATCCCATTCTGTCCCAGCCAATGTCCTCATCCAAAGTTTTACTGCCCTACATACATTGTTGGCAGTTGCTGCCACTGACAATGCCTCAAATATGTAATCATCACTAAGGTTACTTATTTTATCACAGAACTTGGTTAAACTGATATATTATTAAATGCCTCATAAAGGCCAGTGTGTTATCTGAGGAAAAGTGCCTAAACCATTCATCTGCACTATTCAACTTTTCCGCTAGATTGGAATCTTAAGCATCCTTACGAAGAGGGATATATTGATGGGTCGCCATCATTCTTGCAAAAGTAACTTCATAGTGTTCTTGTATTTTGTAAGCAGATGTGCAAATATTAAACAATAATTTGCATCTAACGTTGCTGTTTCTTCACAAAGTGTCATTAATAGCACATTCAGAATCCCTCGTCAGGTTTCAAGTCGGTACCTGTCGTAGATAAATATTAGGGCTTCCAACATCGATCACGAACTGAATACGTCAATGATTATTTTGACAAGCTTGATTTGGGGGATGAAGGTCAGTACGATCTGTCTGACAGATTGGAAGATGGGGATACAGGGGATAATGCTGAACAAGAGATTGTAAATGCAAGCACTCAGTGGAAGGCCTCAGAAAACAGCCAGGACTTTCTATGTGATGAAGTTGTGATGGCAGTTAAGCGTTTACTTAGTAAGTGACTGTGGCTTTATACGGCGGTAGAAATCGGGAATGGGCGTCACACATAATACCCATGTGGTAAATCAAACACAGCTCTTTGGCGACAAGAGAATGTTTTAACCATTAGGTTGCACTAGCACCCACCTTTTCTTTGTAAGGGGTGTGGATCCACATAAGCAGTTTCCTAAAGAGAACATGAGTACTAACTGGTTGGCCAGTTTCGACAAGAAATATTTGAATCAATGTCCTCAATGAGACTTTGGTAACTACAAGGGTTGGACAACAGGAAATCAGCCGGAGATGACATACCTACAGTACTTTTCAGACGTACAGACTTTTGCATAATTGGTTAAGCAGCGACCAGGGTCGGATCATTGCCTTGTATGCCAGAGCAATGTTGTGTACTCACAGATGTTCTCACTTTTAACTGGCAAAGGTGTTCTCTGATATTAGTTTTAAGACCTTGCTAAATCCATACTCCATGACTGTTTAATATGCAGTGACATTTGCAGTGACACGACTGTTTGTCACAGGTTATAATTTGAGGTTTATAGAAAATTGTTTAAGTAACATTATCCTACAAGATTGTGTTATGTAATAGTTTTTAAAGATTTTTACAAAATTCGTACCTTAACAAGTTTGTATAATGTAATTGAATAAGTTTGTTTGAAATCAAAGCTTTTATTTTCATTACATTTTGACAATTACATGACATTTACCAAAATAATTAACACAGCTGAAAGTCCAATCAATCCGAATAAGTTTGGTTTTACTTTTAAATCACAGTGTCATCCTCACCAGTGATCATAAGTTTAGTTTACATAATTTCTTTTCAAGATATCATGTTGTGTATTTTTATGAATAGAACAAAAAACTCAAAATTCGGCATCCTCATCTTGTGCAGAAAAATAACACGCATATGAGTAATTTACTTTGACATGACTGTTTATTACGCAATTCAATTTTAATGCCGTTCCCTTGTTGTATCAGTTTGTCAAACGTAACCTTATCCAACGAGATTGTATAATTATATTTTTGAAAGATCTACACGAAAACTTGTATGACACACTTTGCTGTAACTCAAATCTTTGTTTTTGTAAAATATAACAAGTTTGGATTGGATTATATCTGACATTATAATACTCTTTTTAGAGAATAAACAATTTACGACCATATAATGCGTAAAAACTATCCGTTAAACACAAACCAACACAAAAGCAGAACAAATATCAAAATCCTGTTTTCTGTCCATGCTTACTTCTGTCTACAATGATGGCATTTACATATTGATATTTTATACACATAAGAAGCGTCCTTAAAAGCTATACCTTTGTTCCCTTGGTATATTTTATGTAATGTATTCACCCTGCTTGAAAAAAGAAGCTCACAAATCTCTAGCCCTCTTTCGGTCTCTGTTTATCAGGACCTTTTCTCATATAAATTGTGCTGATGCAAACATGTGTGTAAACTTGTGTTTTGATTGGGCTGGAATAAATACAATACAGACAGCAACTGTGGGTGATCGAAAAAAGCTCAGTGTTTTTTGTTCAACGATGACGTACATCGTAAACGCATACAAAGGCTAGTCACTTTTCGCACTGAAAAAACAGGAACGTATGCTATAAGTGAATATACGGAATTCCATTGGACATAATTTCAGTCACTAATGCGTCAAATCTGGCAATGTCCTCTACTTTGTCACCATAAATCTCTGCTTTACTGAAGCCTTGAATGTTGCAACCTTGATCAAACAAAAAATCAAATGGTTTAACTTAACTTAACGCGATCTTCTAATATTACAGAAATTCCAAGAACTCCTTTGAGTTTTTGAGGATTCAGTTTGATTCCAGTTGTC